GTATTTTGAATGACACTTTGTTGCAATGTTACCATGTGCAAATCAGTGATAAATTAGAATGGGAAGTATTACTGGAACAAAGCAGTCATCGACTGTTCATAAGAACGCTTCTGCAATTTTATATTTCAGCACATTTTAATCCAAAGATTTTGAGGATTATCTTGCAGGATTTGTAGGGTCAAACGGTCTTGGATCCTGAAGCTGTCATATGAACTCTTAATAACGATTATTACTTGGGAGACATCTTTCCGCTTGTAAGGTAAATCCATTTTACAAAAAGATAATCACGAAAAGCTCCAATAATAGGATTTGATCCACTTTCTGTGTTAATCGCCAATGCAAGCACATAAGTGGTACATATGGAGTACCAGCTCCTGAAACATCATTCGTGTAAAGTGAAAGGCGACTCTAGCGGACAAAATTGTGTCAGGCGTATCTGGCAAAACGGTTATTCAAATATCATGGTGTTCTGGCTGACTTAAATGGTCCCCGGGGCAGGGCAGCCAGGAGCAAGGGAAAGGTGTAATTAGTAGCGAAATCTGGTGTTAGAGGTCTTAGAGGCTAATACTAAGTTTAAAAATATCCTTATTTTACGTACACTCTGCTACTTAATGACAGCTGCTCGTTGGTTATACAAAAGGACCGTAACATCGATGCCAGATAGACGCATAACTCATCGAAGAACCGGTATTTATAGTGAACTGTACGGGCCGTGGGCAATTAGAGAAAGTCCCAATGATCTGCTTTATAAAATCTGGTTCTTGAAGCAGTTATGCGTTTATTTAGCATCATTGATGTCACCTACTTATCTAATCAACTAGCTGATACCATAAAATGGCAGAATATATGCAAATCAAAGTATTGGTGATTAACAAAGATGACTTGAGGTTGATCGAATCTGAGGTTTAAATGATCGTCGCTCTGCATTCAGATTTTTTACATGCGAAAAAGAGCTGTATTTGATGATTTCTGTTATTTCTTAGTCAGAGCTTAAACATTCACAAAAAACATTGTATTTTGCTTCGTTTTGATGACAAATCCCTGACATTGGTCGTTGTCTAGTCTGTGCGGAGCAGATGCAGAAATCAGTATCATGTGGTGTCAGACATGCTAATCATTGATGCCACTGTTTTTCATGCAGATGTCTTCTCACCTGTCCTAGATGAAAGACGTTAATGACCAACGGATGAAGATTCGATGGAATCTCACCATCATCATCTCTGCTGGGTCCAGTGATGGAAAAAGGCCTCTGCAAGGTTTCGGTGATTTCTGTTTTCTGTGATTCTTATTCATTTTGCTTCAATAAATTTCGTAGAGTCATTTTTTCCATCGACCTGGTCTTCTCACTGGCCGCTTGCTGCCTCTTTTAACCGATTTTAATTCCTCTTTGATCCAGCCCATTGCTATTCCAGCGTTTTCGCATTTGCAATGATATTGCAGACCTCCCTCTTCGATTGAGTGCCTTCTCCCCAACCCGAATTACAGCCTGAGGCACTGAGTCTCTGAACAGCAAAACCTGTCACCAGTGAAACGTTTGCTGTCAGAATCTGAACGACCTTATTCATGATGGTTCAGCAGACAAATCTCTTCAGAAAGAATACGCTAAATAAGTAATGAAGTAAGGCCAGAAGATGACACAGAGAAGAAAGCAGTTTCAAACATGAAACAACGATGAAGCATCCAGTGATTGCCTTCCGCAGATCATGCTGCTTGGATGGTCAATGAGGTCATCATTGACCTGCGGGGATTGCGTCCTTAATAGCTGTTGGATTTCTTGCGTTTGTGCCTCGTTTAAAGCCATCAAATATCTTTATTTGGGGCGAGTAGGGAGGGGGGTTCAAAGATTCATGCTTGCTGCTACTTGTTCTCATAATGATATTTATTTGACTGAATTATGAATAATTATGGGTAATTGTGATATTATATTGATTCAATGCTTTGATATTATTTGCAATAATAGAACGGTTTCTGATTCAACCACTGGGTGCATCCAACGTAGGGGCAGTTGACGATTTATTTGAGAAGAGGGTAAAAGAAACTTTATTGACAGTAGTGCCGCGAGTAGTAGTTTAAGTTTACTCTTTATGCGTTTCTTGACTACATAGAATCTTTTTCTTAATTTCGATTTCCCTTGAGCAAGAAAATCAGCCTATTGTAATCCGGCACAAGCAGCTAAGAAACGAATGGCAATTTATTGACTTGCGGACGCTGGGGGGGGGACATCAGGGGGTATTCTTATTTGATTATGCAAGAGCCTATGGAACTTACAACTGAGCTGTATGATAAGCGCTTTTTATCCAAGCTTGACAACGTCTGTGAACACAAAGTAGTACTGCAAGTTTGAGTGCAAAAAGGTTTACGAACATTTCGCTACCAACGTTTTAGACAGCATCACATACTACAGTTCATGCACCCATTAAGCTTATTATTTGTAACCTTGATTCAGTGTCAGTCCTGAAAAAAATATCGGTCGTGAAAGAAACTTCCAATACTTTTTTCGGTTTCATCAGCCTTGGAATCAAAAACCGTCTTAATAATAAAAACGTCAAGGTGATCTTTTCTTTAACAGTTTTATGCCATCACCGTATGAATAAAAACAATTAATGTATTTTCTTGGTTTCTCAAGCTGTCATTGGAAGTTTAGAGTGCTTAGAAATAAGAGCTGTTATTTTATTCAATAACCTTGCTCTACGGTACCAGAAGTTCACAGCCTGTTGGATTCCTCAAAAAATACAGGATGGCACCGCCAGTTTATTAACCAGTTTATACCACCTCTACGGTACCAGAATATAACCAGTATATAACCTTGCTCTACGGTACCAAAAGTTCACAGCCTGTTGGATTCCTCAAAAAATACAGGATGGCACCTCCAGTTTATTAACTGGCAGCACAAAATGAATCAAATGACCCTCTGCCTTATACGAGTCGTTTGTCCGGCTTTACATGGCGTAATCGCGCAATCGTCTGGCTTCTATTCGCATAGAGGACTCTTTGAGGAAAGCCACCTCTTCACATTATTACAGTACCTGAAGTACCTGAAAGCAATACAGCACCACTGGGTTTAGTCCAACGGGTGGTATTAGAACAGTATTTGATATATCTCGATCCATGGTTTACAGATAAGCAAAAGTGCAACCTCGCCGTCCAAATCCGCAGAAGCAATTCAAATACGCCATGCTCACCAGCCGTATAAAAACTGGCATTAGCCAGTACACTCAGAACACGAGGGACATTTCAGTGTAGGTCTAGAATATGCTCTTAATCAACCTAACTCAGAGATGCGGTCTCGCATCCAATTAACATGGAACTATGGCCTGCTCAAATGGGTTCCTTACGCGATTAGCAGCAAAGGACAGTGGTTCTCTTACGCCGTGTCAATTTTGTCATTAGTTACTGAAAAGTAATATCTGGTGGTGGAATTGGAAGGCTGCTTTTCAAGTTAGCCATCCAAGAACATAGGGTTATATTACATTTTATGTGATTTTATCAATATGTCAACGTTCGAACTTATTTTTAATCCACCAAACGAAGTGTGCTATTTTGTAAAATACTAAATGCCGTGGAGCCGCGGATTCTTCGCGTTTCTTAGGCAGGCGGCTAGAAGCAGGAGGGGGTGCGAATATAACATGTGAATGCGGACAAGCAACTTCTACGTGTTGTGCTGCCTGGCGAAAACCATTTTTGCTAATAAACCCAGAATAACTTGCACATCTCTGTTCCTATTT